CAAAAAACAAAACTTTTGGAATTTATGAGACATAATATGAATCAATAAAATGTTGTAAAACCTAATGTAGTTCAACACTGAATACCACTTCCGAGAGTATAAAATGTAGTGAAACATCAAAATATATTTAACAGGAATTTCAAATCAAACATATTTTTATTGCAAAACAGGTTCACAAATGAATTTGAAGGTTAAAATACGGCAATTATTTAATAAATATTAATTGTAAGCTAAATGATTGATTTCGTGAATTATGAATTGATTGCCTTTAACTATATTAACGACATTTTAAATACTCAAGTATTTAAATTTACAAAAATTATAGAAAAATCATAACACAGATTAAATTTAATGCAATAATAAATTTTACATTTATTTTATGACATTTGCTAAAAGATAATAAAATTATTTGAAATTTAACTTTAACCTAATTTTAGGAAACATTTTTTGAATGTCTTTTTGAAGATATTTTCTGATAAATAAAATATTTGGATCCTAATATACAAAATTAATTCATTAATGTTATAAACTAACTTAATATAAAGTACAGTAAATTATATTAAATATTGTAAATGCATTAATTAAAATTGTATATTTATAATTTTTCAAACTAAATTAACATTGAACTTGAAAAAATAATAAAGATTTTAATTAATTATGTTAAACTATCATGCTTAAATCTTAAGTGATTATACTGGTATATAATATTTTATTATTTAAATGTCAACATAGATTTTATTCATACAATACAGTATATACAATATACAGTAGTACATACTGTAGTATATTATATTAATACATAATAATAATTATTATTATCAGCATTTATTAAAGAAACTTTTATAATTTATATACTATATATAGCAGTGAACGGCAATATAATAATTGATTAATTATAATTTATGAGTTAGACATTTATAATAATTAAAACATAAGTATAAACAATTATAAATTACATAATTTTTATGTATTAATAGTTAGAAAAATAATGTTTAATATTTAATCAAAAAAGTTATCATAACTCTTATGGACTGATATATATATCATTAGTATTTCCAAAACTAATAATTTAAAAATATTACTATATTTTACTTACATTATTTCTAATATAAATTTAAGCTCAATTTACTATTATAAAAATTATAATATAATAAATATTACTTTTTTAAATTCAACAATGCTATTGTTTTTTTAATATAATATTTAATACTATTCAATTAAATTTTATAATAAATTATAAACTTGTCTAAAGCTTTAAAAATATTTTGTATTAATTATATATTTAGATTTTGAAAATTATTACACTATTTTAGAATTATATTTTGATACAAAATAAAAGTTACAATTATAAAATTTAATATTGAGATCAATTTACTATAATAGTAAATATATTTTTAAACTTTCAAACATCAATAACTTACCGATTTTTGTGGTTTCATAATTTTCCTCATAATTACTTGTAGTAAATGATTTAATACACAACAAACCGATAGATATTTGTAAAATATGATTTAATTTCATTTTTATATATTGGTTAAATCGATAGTTAAAATTTATTTTGGAGACAGTCTAACTAAACACAAACATTTTAAATATTATTTATATAAAGGAATTACAATAAATTATATAATCTGTATAACTATTGATTTTAAATTAATACGTATATAATAACAATAATAATTTTTAATAATATTTTTAAAATAAAACTTTTAATCACTATTAAAAACACTAACTAATAGGTGTCTAAACATCAAACAAGAATAACTTAATGTTTTTGCAGCAAAACTACTATTAGAGTTATGTTGAGAACAGGAATCGTATAACTTATTCGTTGATTAGATTTTTGTTTATAACTTTGTATTTCTATTTAGAGGTCAGTTATGTAAGTCATGTGCTGAACCTTCAATACCCGAAAGCAAATAGTAGTGCCTAATAGTAGTGCCCAATACTAGTGCCCAATACTAGTGCCCTCGTCTCTCATATCAATACAGAAGCCGGTCCTCCAAAAGCAGCACTTGTTGTCTCTCGACCCCTATTTTTCAGTGAGAAGTACCCAAAAAACGAGAACATCCCTCACTATATCGTATTATTGAAGCGCTTATACATTAGTTTCTTAAGCGTCACAATCGATATGATTTTATATATCATAATATTATCTCATTTTAAATCATTTTGTCTATCCTTTTGTCTTTTATTATACATTATAATTGCATTTTTTATTGTCTAACTTCTTACCTTTAATTCTCACCAAAACATTAATCAAATTTAATAATATTTAACTTTTAGTTTTGTTAATAACTGTTAAATCTTTTGTTTAATTAAAAATTGCTTATTTCATGTAAAACTAAAATAAATAAATAATTAAAAATGTTTTATTTAAAGAATAAATAATATTTTATTAAATTTAAATTGTATTTTAATGAGAAAAATATTAATAATATTTGTATAGTAAAAATAAAATTAAAACAACTTCAGCTATTTAAATGCTTATTAGTTTAAATAAAACGTAAACTCATTTAATTATTTATTTATTTTTATTATTGTTTCAAAACAGAAAAATAATTTTATACTTTAAAAAATATCAAAAGTCAATAATAAAATAAATTTTTCTTATACATTAAACTATTTAAATAATTATAATAATTTAAAACCATAAATTTAAAATATACAAAAATTTATTTAAAAATACCTTAATAATTTAATAATTAAAACATAATGTGATAAAATATTTATACTGTTTTGTTTAAAAATATGTGAATTTATAATTTAGTGTAATTAAAAAAAGTAATTCAAATATATTTAACTTTTAAAAAATTTTGTTTAATGTAATATATATAATATCTATATACAGTATACTATTATATTTACAATAAACAGATTCAGTATTACTGAATATAACACCTAATAATATTATTAATAAAATTTATACAAATAATTTTTGTAATAATTTAAATAAAAATTAATATATTTTAAAATTTAGTTACAATTATGTAATGTTATCATATAATGTTAATATAATGTATTGCTAGTTTTAGTTCGAGTGAAGTTTAAAAATATCACAATTATGTAGTATTAACTAATATTTTTTAAATACTAACTTAACATTTGCATTTTATTTCTATTAGTAAAAATCAACTTTAAATAAACAAATTTGTAGTCGATTTTAATATTATTAAATTGTATATCAAAATAATAAAATAATAATAATAGTAATAATTTATGCAATTTTTAAGGCTAAGGAGTGTTCCTTTATATAAATCATAAAATATATTTAAAATGTGAATCAAATGTTTTACAAAGTAAGCCACAAATAACAGGCTTTCTGTTAATTTGAAATCATTTGATATTTATTATAGGTATTCATGTGTTTGGCAACACATTTATCTCTACATAACTATCAATACTGTATTATATATTTTAAAATACAGAGTATATATTTATATTATGATGAAATTTGTAAATAATATAAAATTATCAATTAATTAACTTTATAGTGATTCTCAAACCAATTATTTTAAATAATAAGTCATAGATTGATCATAAAATTGATAGTACAGTACAATGTTTTTACTAATTATCTATTTGTAAATGTATAAAATAGTATATTGTGATTAATATTTGAAAAACTGGAGCAAAAAATTATTTTATTTATACATATTTTCATGAAAATCGATTCAACAAAATCATGATTTAATGATTTTATAAAAAGATATATAATTTATAAATAAGTTTTTTCTAAATACAACTTACATTATAACAATTTTATATCCGTTATATTTAATAATTAAATTCTCAAATAATAATAACAATAAAACTTATAATAATTTCTATAATTTATTGGGCATTTGCTTGAAAATATAAAAAATAAAATAACTGGGAATAAAGTTTATAATTGTTGCAATAATTATAAAATATAGCACTTTTTAAACATTAATTGATAAAAAAACGTAAATTATAAAAATAAACCATTAAAAAGTTGTTATTGTATATAATCATCAATGAATCAGTTGATGATAACCACTGAATACTGTATCTATAGTATTCTTTTTTTTTCTCTCTCTCTCTCTATTTTTGTTTGAGACATATCTTTATCAATGATAACCATTAGAAGAAATCATTGAAAACAAATTGAATCTATTTATTGCAATTAAATGTGATTATTATTTTTAGTGTCAAGAGTTTAGTGTCAAATGATAATTGAAATCTGGTTTCAAAAATTACATCAACTTTAGGCCTAAACATTGGGTGCTCTCCTCTCAAAAAAGTTTTCTTATATCCGGGAGTTAACTGAAAGAGCTATTTATGTGAGAAACACATTCAAGACTTGACTTTTAAAAACTGATAACTCATTGACTGAACATTTGAGATAAACCGGTATTTCATTTCAAATGATATACAAATGTTGTGTTAAAATCGTATTTATTGATGGCATTAGTTTCACCAATAATTGGTTTCAATGTGTAAATGTTTCAAACAATTGTCTCATCATATAGTCATTACTAATTGACCATGGTACATATTTAGCAATATATGATATAACCATATATTAACACATTCCTCAATGTTACCATAATATCAGACATAGAAATCTAATTGATATTATTATTAACTCAATATTACTGTTACATTTGTAAATTAACATAACTATCAAATTTAATAATTATTTATAATTATTAATATTCGTTACAATTATTACATTTATACGTTATATAGGGTTCGGAACGGATCCGTCTTTTTTTAATTAATATATTAATTTTATATAAACTTTATTATATAAAAAACCAAAACTGTTTTTTATAGATACTTATTGTATTACTTAAAATCATTTAATTATATAAAAATATTGAATATCTGTATTATATTATAATCATAAATTATATTAAAATTAATAAAATTACAATTATTATAGCAGTATATCATTATTATATGATTAGTATTAATGTATTTTTTACATAATTTTGTAGAAATATATGAATAATAACGTTATATATGAATACATTGTGAGACACGCGCAGTGATTATCAGACATTTTTGTGACATTGAAGACAATAATTGATACAAACTATTGATTATTAATATATTAATCAATTGAATACATCTTACAATTGATCCGTAAGTATTAATACGATTGGTGTGACAGACATATAATTGAAGTGTTGTTGTGATGAATAGGTGATGCCGTGTCCACACTTCGGTAATTTACCCAAAGATTACAATAAGTCAATTCACGGACCTTTCTATCCGTTCCGTTATTACGGCAAACGTATGTATTATTGAAGACATTGAAAAAACAATTGAAACTAACAATTGATATATCGATGAACTAATAGCGGACACACCATTTGCTGAGGTAAAGCTCACGGAGTTGGGCTCATGGCTTAACAGACGTAACATTCATCCGGTGGCCATCTTTCGGGCCTTTAGTCGGGCTATCTTTAGACACGGCAAACGATTCATTGATCCCCGATATGCTTATCCGGGTATTGGTTTCAATCAAAGGATTTGGGCCGTCTGTCTCCTCTTCTATATCCTTAACTATAAGACCATTCGTGAGTTGATTCAAATACAATGCAATAGTTATTTTGCTTATCTTATGGTTTAAACAAAACAGGTCATCACAAGATGTACAAACATCACTGGTAGACATGGATGTGGTCAACACGTTAGACATATTAAACAAATTACAGGATTTAGATTTTATTGAAATTAAAATCAATACACAAATTGTAGCATTAATTGAATTGTAAACTTATTTACAATAAATTAGTTGATTTTATTTTTTTTGTCTATAAATTGTTTTTTTGCATTTATTATAAATAGACAGTAAATGAATTGAGATTTTTATTTAAATTTGTAAAATTTATTGATGCCATTAATAAATTTGAATATAAACTGTATTAACTTATAATTAAGCAAACATTTTAAAAATTACATTAAAATAGGTATTAGAAATAACAGAAAAATATAACAATTTTTACAAAAGCTTTTATTTAAGATTTTTTTTAATAAGTTGGTTAGTATTTAAATAAAATTGATATTAAAATCTAAATGAGATGTTACTATATATACTGTATATTAGCTAAAATATTTCAAAAATTTCAAAATGTATAATACGGTAGTTGGTATTTGAGATAAAACTAACCAATCTTTCAATAAACCAACAAATTTTTTAGAAAAACATTTTCACTATTTTGTAGTCAAAAGACATTATTATATATTTTTTAAAAAAGTTGAAGAAATCTTCGAGTTTGGCTTAAAAACAGCAAAAATCTCTGTTTTTAATAGTTTTGATGATACGTTTCAACAAATATTAAAAAAGTTTTTTTTAATAGAAATATATATAATTATTATTAATATTATTATGTGAGCGAATAATAGACGCAGAGAAGAGACCACTTATAAGCCGACACTAGTGGACAAACCAGACATCTATATAATGATAACAATTTATTATAACAAATCACACGTATATTTCTTGCGTTTGGGTTTAGGTTGTGGACACAGAACGGCACGGATGGCCTCATCGAACACATTCTTCAGACCCTTTTGAGTCAATGCAGAGCACTCTAAGTATTTGACGGCTTGGATCTCCTTAGCCATTGCCAAACCCTGAGGGTATGTAATTGGGGCTAATTTTCGATCTTTTAATTTCTCTAATGTTTTAGAGTCGTCGCGCAAATCTAATTTAGTGCCAACAAGTATTATAGGTGTATTTGGACAGTGATGTGACACTTCCGGATACCACTAAATTTAATCAATACATTATTATTATTACATTTCATAATCAATTTCATAATATCTCAAGACATACCTTTGCCCTCACGTTTTCAAAAGAGGCCGGATTTACGAGTGAAAAACAAATGAGAAAAACGTCCTAAAATTTATAATTATATTCAATATTACTGTCGAAAGCTATCATAAAAAATCTTACGGTTTGTGGATATGAAAGAGGTCTCAGTCTGTCGTAGTCTTCTTGTCCGGCGGTATCCCAAAGACCCAAATTAATTGGTTTTCCGTCAACCATAACATTGGCTGAATAGTTGTCAAATCTTACCATAAAATATAATTAATTGTGATATTCAATCAATAGTCAGGATAATAGTCACTTACACAGTAGGGATGTATTCCCCGGGGAATGCATTTGTTGTATAACTTATCAAAAGGCATGTCTTACCCACCGCTCTATACAAGACATCAATTAATTAATTAATTAATATTAGTGTAAATTTTTCAAAGATCTTTGCTTTATATAAGATTTAAATACTACTGATTGATAACATATATAAACACAAATGTAATGTAAGTACTATTTGTGACAAACAAGAAGTCCTTCAAAAAAGTGGTACTTAAGAGTTAATATATGACATCAAAGTAATGGATAATGTTTTTAAAAATATCTGTGAGTGGGTGTCAAACAACATATTAATATATAATATAAATTTTATAAAATTATCATTAAATATGATATATTGCTAAACAATAGTCCAAACATTTTCTGAATTTAATTAATTAAATAAATATTCAATTGGTTTATATTAACAGTCAATATCTAGCAGTCATGTAATCAAATCAAATGTCTATACAATTACGTCAACATTCAATGTATGCCTTAATTATGAGTCAATTATTAATTTTTAATGTATTTATTAATTCAAACAATTTATGGATCTCTTGTAACAAACTTTTATAGAAATGTCTAATAAATTAATTTATAAATCATTATTAAATAAATAAAATAAATTATAATAAAGTTTATGAATTGTGTTAAAGAGTGGTCACAAACCCGTCGCCGACGACAACACATTTGATGGCTTGCATTGTGTTGTGATGTTGTCTTGAGATTTGTTGTGATTAGTAGTCACTCAAAGATGTCTTTTAAATATTAATTACTAATTAAAACATTGATTTTTAACTCATTTAAGTGATGTTATCATATGATTTGAGACCAGATATACATAAATGGATGCAAAAGGCGTTCAAAAACAAGACATTCAAATACAGAGTAAAGTAAAGCAGTGTTTGACTGTTTGAATGCTAATCACTCACACATACAACACATACAACACATACAACACATACTCTCTCATCACTACTACGGGTGTGACTCACGAGACATCACCGATCAGACCAATAGATGGCACAAACAATACATAACTATTATGTGAATGAATCAAAAGTTTGATACCAATTAAGGACAGACACTATTGACGACTACTGTATGACTCGGGTTGGATCAGATTCTGTCCCTCTTTTTATTATCTAAAAGTTCCTTATGTTTCATATTCCCTGGGAATTCATAGGGAATGTATTTCCTTGTGCTACCACCTATTAAACACTAAATAACACATTTTATTATAATTTAAAAAAACAAATTTATATTAAACTGTGTTTTAAGTTGTATTGATAAATAGTATCAATAAATTTATTGAATTTAATTTATTTCTAAATATTTCAATATTTTTTTGCAAAATATTTAAGTTTTGTTATTTTGATCATAGTAATATAAAATATAATTTCCTTTCTAACGATCAAGGGAGGGAAAATAAAATATATTTCGGGAAAATTGGAGGTATTTTTTAAGGAACTTTCCTCACTCGGAATGTTTATCGAACTCTATATATCACACAGTCATTCAAACGTACGATACATTTACACAATATTTACTATTATTGCTATTCATATGATTGACTCCACAGATAACCAACAAAAAAGAAAAATAAGAAAAGTTTCAATGAATTTATGACTCAATTATTTATATAACTTATTATTACTTTTTATTTTTTATTTCATATATTATAACAGATTATAATAAACAACTGATTTTATATATAAATTTATATATCATATGATTTTACATTTTATTTCCATAATAATTATTACAAATGCAATTAACTACATATTTTGAATGACTATTATAAATATTTTATGACAACATTTGGTATGTTTTCAAATTTGTTTGTTATGTTTATGTTTATGTTATGTTATGTTAGTTATGTTATGTTATTTACAGGATGTTATTTCTTTATAAATGTATTATATAATAGTTTATAAATTTTTTTACAAAAAACTTTAAATTTTTAAAAATACAAAAATTTTTAGAGAAAAAGATAACATATTATTGACAAAAAAAATTAGGAATATTTTGCATTTGGATTTATAATAATAATAATTTGTGTTTAATTATATAATTAACAAGTAATTAACACTAAAATATTAACTATTTATTAAATAAATTTATTTAAAAATTCTATATATTATATATATTTATGTATATAATTAATATTTTAATATATCAGTAAATACTGTATATATCATTATATTTTAAATACTATACACTATTGTTAATAAACATTTAGCAATAGTGTTGTTAATAAATAATGATATGAACTATTAAAAATTTATTTAATAAATTATTGCATTAATATCAATTAAACAGATAATTTAATTAAATCTATACTTAAGTATAATGTTAATATTAAATATAAAGAAATTACTAATTATAATATATTATACAGAATATAATTGACTAAAATTTGAATTATAATATTGAGCTTTAAATTTACTTTTGGTTTTATACATATTATAATGTATAACAATTGCACAATTTTGCTTATCATTTTAAAGTATATTAACTTTAAAATATTAATGACTTTTTAGACGATTTTGTTGATGTTATTGTATCAAATTTATAATAATAATTTGATAATTATTTTTAATTCATTAAACTATATATCAATAATTGACATATATTTGTTTTATTAGTATTATAAGACAGCAAATCATTGCGTTTAATGAATATTTGAATTGAATTATTGCATAACATTTGATATGATACTGTATTACACTACTGTATTATAGTGTAGTTTAATTGATTGATTCAAAAGGACAACATTAAAATTTTTAAAGTTAACGTTGACTTATAAATTATATCCAGTAATATAAAAATGTATAATACATATAATATATATTTAATATAATTTTTTTGTGTTATAATTTGATATAAAATTAGTATTAAACTAATACTTATTCATACGGGTGTTGTTCGCCGAAGTGTTTCAATGAAGAACTCTTTTCTCGGTAGTAGTTCTCGAGGATAATCCTTATTGTGGTCACGAATCACATTATCTTTTCTTTGAGACAGAAATTCATGCGAATAGTCTCGCATTATATCAACAGAAGTGGAAACTGTATTACAAGTGGTTTCCCTCGAAAAGGGAGGAAAATTAAAATAAGTTAAATCTCTCATTGAGTCAGTAATAGCTAGATTTGGGACATTAAGACTTCCATGTCTTGAAGTTTTTATCTGTTGAGGATTGGGTGATGTTTCACGAGACAACTCTCGGGTTCGGCTGTATCTCCGACCTCGACTACCGTGTCGTTTGCAATAAGCCATAGCATTGGCTTCTGTTTGTGGCAGAGGTGATGGCAAATAGTCAACTATCTGTTCCCTTTCGTATTCAATTTTATACTTAAATTGATGTAATCGTATGTACAGAAATATAGCGAAAGTTCCCGTAATTTCACAGAGTATTAGACCACAAACGGCAAATAAAAATGAATACCCGTATCGATACTTAAACATCGGATCTTGAAATGTGGACTTTGGTCTCAATTTATTGCCGACTTCAGCCTTAAATGTTGAAATGTATATAACCATTGCCGCTAATATTAACAAACCTATTGTAACAAACAATTCATATTATCAATATAGTTTTTTTTAAATATAAATAAATTGTATTAGAAATTAATTAATTAATATTAAATATTAATAATATGATGATTACCTGCTATAATAAAAGCAATACCAGTGGCAAATGTGAAGACTCTTCTTCGGGTGCAAACGTGACCCAAAAAGCATAAGAGTTGTCCGATTAGCAGAATTAGACAACTGGTCATCAAAAATATTGCCGCCCTTTTTGCCGCATCTGTTAATTATTTAATAAATTTTATTTTTCATTATTTAACTGCTGTTCATTCATAAGTATTTGTAAAAATCAAATCAAATGAATGACTATTTATATGCCTATCCATAATTTATACTAATAATATATATTTAATTTTGTTGTAAATATATATATACAGTAAAAAAATTGAAATTATATTTACTAAATTACAAATGTTGTTGATTTTTCTTGTAAATATATAATATACTTATTTTAATATATAATTTTCTAAACGTAAAAAGTAATTTTCACATTTCATTTTGTTATTTTCTGACAACTTATAACATTATCTGCTTAAAGCAATCATACATTTATAACTATTATTTTCATGAAATAGGAAAATTGTATTATAATAATAGCAAGTTTATATAGTATTTCATTAATAAAAATGACATTTGACTGAAGTATAGTATATATTAAACCTTATAAAAGTTAATTTTTATAGTTTTTCTAAATAATATATTATCATATATATATATATATATATTAAAAATATAATTTTAATAATCTTATAGATACAAAATGATATATAATAGTTCATTTTTATTTTCTTATTTTGAAAGTTATTTTAAAGCCTATTTTATAGACTTATTGATTATAACATAAGACTTAAGTAAAGTGTTTTTAGGATATGTGTTGTGCAAACATATTATGATTATTAGTATTATTAATATTTTGTTTGCATTTAGCAAACATTACTCATTTAAAAATTTATAAAACACTAAAAAAATTTAATCAAAAGATTTAATATAATACACAAAAATATGTTAATTGAAATAAAAAATTAAATGAAAGTGTGTAAAATAGAAAAATATTTTTTTCTAGAAAATTACATTACATTTATAATTTAGAAGAAAATGATTTCTTATAGAAAAAAACTTATTATTATATTGATATAGTTTATTGATATACAGAAACTAAAACATATATAATTTAATTTATAAAATGGTAAACAATTTAAAGCAAATCGTGACTAAAAAATAGTTACATACAGGGGATGGCCATCGTTGAGTCGGTTGGATCGGGACTGTAATCTTCTTTAGAAAAGTAATCGATTATAAAACAATGCATTAATTTCAATGGAGCTGTAAATAAAAAATTTAATAAAATTATAGTAATTTGAATATATTTTGAATACAGTTTTAAAAAATAATTCTATGGATAAATATGAAAATTCAATATATATATTGTTATTAATGAAATAAAAAAAAGATTTAAAAAAATAAAATGACAGAAACTGAAAGACTGAAAAGTATTGTTATATACGGTCGTTATGACAGAGTTGCCAGAGACCGGATACAGTGATCTTCTGGTGGTATTCCATCTCTGGAGGCATTGAAAACTTCTGGTAGTCTTTGTTTGACATGTATTCAATTGAATGCAACCATTCATTGGTTAATAATGCTATTGCTGTCGATACTGTCGATGATATTGCTGAGAGTGGAGTCAATAATCTATTTATTATATTAATTGTTAATTTAAATTTAATCATTATACTATATATATATACTAACTTAATTAAAAAAATTAAAAATAATTATTTAAAAATGTCAAAAAACAAAGCTATCAATATTATATAATTGATAAATAATTACTAAATAAATATAGTTTATTATTCTAATTAATAAATTAATGATATATACTCTATATCTACCTTAATATGCGAATGGATCGCACGGACATATTATACACTTATAAAGAAAGTGTCAATTTATGTGTAAATTATTTTGAATTCATTTATATGAATATAATTGTGAATAATGTGATGAATTCAATAATCAAATGTTGTCTAATGTGTTGTTATGTTGAATCCGACTGACGGTTGTGTTAGTACAGCACTTGGGAACAGATGCTTCACAAATTGCACATACATTACAATATAGATATATTAATATTAAAATTTATTTGGTTTTCTAAATAAAAAATTATTTTTTATACAAATTATGTTATTATATTTTGATAAAATTAGTATTATTATCATAAATATATAATTTGATTTTTCAGAAAAATAATTATTTTTTTATATATCATTAAAAAACATTTTATATAAATGATGAATTTGAATAATATAATAATGTTAGATAATTAGTGAAAACACTAAATAATAAGAATAATAGGAAAAGGTATTTATTGATGAATTAAAACAGAGATTTATTTTGCAAATAAATAGTTATTATGTTGTGAAGAGGCATTCATTTTAGTCAAAAAAGATATTATTATTATTATTATTATTATTATTATTATTATTATTATTATTATTATTATTATTATTATTATTATTATTATAAGATTATTTGAGATCACATCTCATATGAAAAAGATGAGGAATATATCAACAAAAGGTTTACAATCTCTCTGTAGTATTACTTTCTACAGAATTGTCACTAAAGATAAACATTTAGTGCGGAACTCAACACAAGTATCGGAGGCATCCATTTGGTTGTCAACCGTAGGGTTGTGTCACTGATGCCAATACACAACTGTAGTCCGCATCACATCTTAACCATACAAACACAGTGTTTGTCGGCGCACAACACTTCTCAGTCTCATTCAAAAGGATATACGCTTTCAATATATCTCTGCGACTGACTATTGGATGAAATTATCACAAAAAATCAATAAATTGTTTACAAAATTGCAAAACAAGTTGTCGTTACAAAAAAAAAACTTTATTATATTTAATTATTTATATTACAAATGTTTATTGATTTTAATTGAATATACAGTATATAAAAAATAAATACCAATACTTTATTTAAGTAAAAAATATAATCGTTTTATCAATTAACATCTTTTGTAATTAACATCTTTTGTAATTAAAATCTATTCAATTATTATCATATTATAATTATTAATTTGATAATCATGTCATAAGTATTATGATTGTTTAACTCAAAATAATATAATTAATAAAAATATTGTAAATCAAATATAAGATTATTAATAATTAAATGGTTTCAATAACATTTTGAATAAATTTCATGTGAATTGTATTAATTAATAAATTAAAATATTAAAGTAACTTTTAAATAATTTAAAATTATTTTTTTGGTTAAATCTTTTTATTTGAATTGAACAATTGAATATTTAACAAAAATATATAAAAGGATTAAAAGTATGAATTTGTGAGAAATTATAAAAGCTTAGAGCAATGTCTTAATCTTATATTTTTAGTTTTAAACAAAAATATAAATACATTTTTTTAAAATAATTAAAAATCTGTACATTTATTAATATAAAACTAAACTAATACTGTATTTACTTTATTAACTTTAAAATTAAGATATTATTAAAAATAAAAAATAGAATTTTATTTAAAATTGTTTTTATTATTTTTTTTTAATTTTATTATTATACAATTTATTTTAAATTAAGTTAATTTATTTTTATTTAAATAAAATATACTGTATATATAAGTGTATATTTTTTGAACAAAAAAAATTAACAAACATAAAATTTGTAATTATATGTACAAACATTTTTTATATGAGTAATAAAAATTTTATAATTTACAACGTTAACTCTATATTGTATGATATTAACACATATTAATAGATTACACATATTATACAATTGTTATTTACATGATTATTGACATATAAAGTGATTTACTATAACAATAATATAGTAAAAAGTTGCTTAAATATTAGACAATATAAATGAAATCAATTAAGTGATGATTTACTGGATAGCGAGTCGTCCGCACTCCAGGTCACAGAATCAAGACTTTGTTGATCTGAGTCTTTGGCAAATTCCGGGTACGAGGGCTGTAGACAATGGGTTAATGTAGCCGACTCTTCGTCCATAAAGTCACTGAATTTTCTGTAAACATGTTTGGGTATCAATAAATCAGAACTAACTTCTGATATATTGGCGACCAGTTCTTGACCATCATCTTCAATGGTTATCACAGGAGTTCTATTCTGGTTATAGGACTCACTATTCGCTGTATTATTTGGAGAGATATTAATTTTATCACTCAATTGCTTCATATTCTTGTTCAGCTGTTCTTTGTCTAAATTAAATTGTTTCAAACCTTCACTGCTTCTACTAATTGAAATCATGGGATTGTTATTATGTTGATAATTGTTGTCCAAATCGATGGTCTCGCAGGTAAAGACAAAATTATTGGGAAGTGAAGCCATTTTCATGAGAGGGCGCCTAATGTTAAGTTTTCTCTCTCTTTGCTGTCGATCGATGGCATCTTTAATAGCTTTCTTCTCTGCTTCCATTTCTTTTGCAATTTCTAAATCTATTTCTTCGTCTTCATCGTCGTCGTCGTGTGTATGCGACTCTTCCAAGTGTTTCATTAAGACAGCAATTACAACATTAACTAAAACAAATTGAGCCATCAGTACGAAGACGACAAAATATAGCGGAGCAATGATCGGTGAAATACAACAATTGATTAAACAATCTTCTGTTGGATCGCATTTGTCTCTCAGTGTGTCCTAAATATCAAATATAACCATTAATTTATTATTTATGAAATTTATTATTATTTAATAAGTCATACTTTCATAATACCGTTCCAGTTGTCACCAGTGGCCACACGGAATAACGTAAGGAAAGCCATCCCAAAGTTTTGAAAATGAGCATGCTCACCCAAACCTTGACATGGATTATCTTCATCACACTCTGTATTGTTTATAATCATAAATATATTATTCAATAATATAATATCAATTAAGTTGTTATTCATTAACCTAATCGTCCAAAGAGTTCGGTTCCCAACGCAGAGAATATAAAGAAAAGCAAAAAGAAAAGTAATCCAAGATTTCCGACTTGAGGTAAGGCTTGCATAACAGTATCCAACAGTTGACGGATGCCTTTTGCCATCTTTAATAACTTTAATACTCTGGCGATTCTCATGACTCTCATTACACGAATTATTGTCGGATTTATTGGAATCAAAGTCGACTCCATTTCTTCGAGAATAATACCAAGAATGGAGAGCATCACTATAATCACATCCAATTGATTCCATTTGTCTTTTAAGTAACGCCTAACACCCAATGCCATGGCTTTCATAATGGCTTCGATCACGAAAACGCCAGTAAATACAAAGTTAAAGATTTTTAGCGTATAAACCAATCCCTATATTCAAGACATTAGTTTTAAATATTTGTATTATTAATCTGTAATAAGTTTTTTAATCATTATATACGATATAACTTTTTAAACATTTTAAAATGTTTTAATAAAAAAAATAACTAGGTAATATAATTATTTATTACTATTATTAAATTAATATAAATTATTAATAACTATAATATTGATTTATAAACTTTAAAATAAAAAAATTTATAATTAAAAAAACAATTGAAAACTACTTACAACAGGCATGAAATAGTGCTCTAATGACATAGTAATCACATTGAGACCAATAACAGCTGCTATTATCAAATCAAAGTACTTTCCGGTGACTATCTTATGGACAAACAATCGGTAGTTTCCATATCCAATAAAATATGGCGGTTCTCGCATTTCTATACAAAATAGTATATTATATAATATACGATATTATTCTGTGTTTATAACTATATATTGATATATTGATTGAAATAATATGTGAATAAATTGAATTTATCACATAAATTTATCTATAAATATGTATTAATATTTTTATACAGTACTAATACTATTAATAATAATAACAATATAAGGGGTGTGGGTAAGATCGCCATACCCCCCCCCCTTTGCTTGACTCTGGATAATACGTATTTTAAGTTTAAATTTAGGAAACATTATAAAAAATAGGAAAAAAATCAAACTTTTTCTTCTCTTTTCCAATTTTCGGGCTCTTTTAGCGGCTCTAAAGGCTTTCTCTTCTTTTTCTTGTTCTTCACGACATCGATGAAAGTTCTCGACGACGACACCGACAAACATATTGAGCACAAAGAAAGCAACCAAAAGAAGAAATGATATGAAATATAGTAATCGCCATTCATTGTAGTTCTCAATCGGCTGCTGATCCACACCCACCGCATCCAAACCCGTATACATTATATTAACCCATCCATCCTTTGATGACAACACAAACAATGACATCAAAGCCTGTTTTGAATAAATGTAAGTTTAAATATTTATTTTAATTAATATAATAATGAAATTTTTATCATTTATATGTTTAATGATTGTGAAATTATGAGACAAATGTATTGATAGAAATGTTTAAACACTACAGTATGTAACAGTTTAGATAAGTTTATTACTGTTTTTTGTTTTTATAAATAATAAATTATAGCTAATATGATTACATACCTGTCCTAAGTTATCAAAGTTATATTTTCTATTAATCCATCGATTTCTGGGATCAGACATACATTCTGTTTTATTTCTAACATTTTTTGCTTTCGGTCCCTCTGTTTATAACAAAACAAAACAAGTTATTAACTTATGTTATCTCTAAAAATAGTTTTTCAAATAAATATTAATGTGTAATACAAACCACAATAATATAGGCTGCCTTTAAAAAGCTGTTTTTAAGGGAAAATCAATAAATAAGTTATAAATAATTCACTTGACTATAATTTTTTTAAAAATTGAAAGTCTTAATACCTGAACTCCTAATATACCAAAAATAATGAAAAATGTACAGCAAATCAATACTATGTTTCCTATGGGTCGTAGAGATGAGAGCAGAGTTTGAACAACTAATTTAAGACCAGGTGCTCGGTTGATAACTCTGTAAACCAAAAATACATTTATTTCACAATCAATTTAAAAACATTGTCTAATAAACATTTTAATGATCTGTATATCACCTCAAGGGTCGTAACGATCGGAGTAAACGAAATACTCTAAGAATTCCCAAAATTCTGGGCGTCTTTTGCGCAAAGAATGAGAGGACGATATCAAAGAGCGAAACTCCAACTAAAATACCGTCCATTATATTCCAGCCGTTCTTAAAGTAGGCATCCTTTCCATAATAGAGACCTTTCGCGGCCACTTTGATCATCATTTCCAATGCAAATATGGCTGTAAATGCATAGTTAGCGATACCTAAGAACTCTCTCTCCGCACTCCACGGAGGGATCTTTGGTCTCTCCATTGCTAATGTTATACAATTTAATGATATAAACAATAGGACCACATAATCAAAATAAGTATTGTCTGCAATTGCAATGCATTGTTGTCTATATTTGTTATCAATTGGAAAAATAAATAAAGAATATTCTTCTCGTTGAGACATCCATTCAGTCCAATCAAAATATACACAAAATTTTCGCGAAGAATTTTGCATAAGATATGGATCACAAGTATTTGCATCACTTATTGCTTGATAGGGAGCACCTAATAGGGCGTCGTCTTTGAATGATTCGGCTAAAGTAACAGGAATTTCATCCAATTTGAATGACGAGTTCATCGATGGATTCTTTACACTGATAACACTGGATGAGTAGAAAACACCCGTCAATGAGTTCCGGGGACTCAGCACTCGGATCTCATGGATTAAGCTGTTTTTCCTCTCGATTGACATAAAACTTTTAATTGAATCGTCTGGACTAAGAGTGGAATTACATCCGACAGAGTTGTGTCTATTGGTCACTGACTCCTTTGTCGATGTTATTGAACACCGTTTGTTGTTATCGTTGATAAGCACAGAGACATCACCATTGCATTGATTGTTGACATCGACTTCAGTGGTGCTCTCATGCAGAGCATATCTTTTATCAAACACATCATTATCGCTATCACTCGAGTTATTGTCGTCAACCAGAGTTTGTTTGTCTAACTTTTTCTTTTTCTTCGAAGACTTCCGACTGATATTACTTCCGTGTCTTTGAATGCGTAAGACATTGCCTTTGTTGTCGGTACTGATACAAGAACTGCGAAGACTGTCTTGTATAGAGTTTAATGAATCGATATTAATAGAGCTGTTGCACGAACTTCTTCTTCGCTGAAGATTAGATGGCAACAAATGACTTGACGGCACTGATAGTGAAGCGATTGCATTGTTGGCTGAACACAAACTCGTGTCGTCCTTTAAATTGTAAATCAAAAATAATTAATTATAATTACATTAATTAATTCTAACAAAATCAACAATAAATTTGTATTAAACTAACAAATGACTGATTTATTGAGCAAAGAGATGCCGCTTGAATTTGAAGAGAAAGTGGACTCAATTGAAATGATCGGTTGGGTTCAAGTGTTGCATTGGGTGAACCCTGTGGTGTGGCCGCCGTATGGGTTATCAATGGAGGTATTCCTAGTAACACATCTTTATTATTATTATCATGATTTTGAGCCTTTATTGATGTGTTGGTTGACATTTCGTATCCAGTGTTAGATAAATTTGATAAAAGTTGCATTTCTATAAAAAATATTTTTTATAATATCGTATGTAATATTTATCATAAATATCAATATATAATATCAAATATCAAATATCAATATAGCATTTATTGGAAAAATACTTTATGTATTAAATAAAATTGGGTATAAATTTCTATTTTATATTGAAATACTATTTATAACTTTGGTTACTGTTTAAAGAGATTATAATTTCTATATTATTATATCTATATTTAATCATAATTAACATAATTTGTATAATTAAGACAATAAATACCTCTTTCGAGATTATCTTGTGGTCCATAAAAATAAATTAATTTTTCCCGTTTGACTTCGCCTTCTTGTGAATCCTCATCGGTTTCCGATTCTTTCCTCTCATCCTATAGTTTGTAATCATTTATAAAACTTTTAATAATTAATATCATTAAATGTTTTTGAAAATTTGAATCAAACAAACCGTATGAGAGAATCCTTCGACGAGAATTGCGACCAACAGATTAAATAAAACATAATTACCAAAAGTCATAAGCGCTACAAAATATAGGGCCGCGTATGGAGATGTCCTCTCCATACCATTGAATAACACCACATTCCAGTCCTCTTGAGTTAAAATCTGATTACAAATTTCATATATCAGGTATTATACATATATTTTATGAGTATTATTCATTTTGGATAAAAATGATATTAGATATTAGGTATCAATAATATTCATATTAATAACTTTGAGTTGACAGGCATTCACGTGTATATCGTTTTCCTTATCAATAAATTATTAGTTTAGATAAAACTTTGTTAATATATTTTCATTCATATTATCATTTACTTGAAAGGAATTTATTAACTATTGACTAAAAAAGCTATTTTATTATTAGATAAACTGTTTAAATGCCTGTTGGCCTCAATTATATAGATTATTATTGTTATTAATAAACTAATGTATAGTTTAGTGAACAGACCTGAAACACAGTAATTGTGGCCCAAAGTATAGAATCGAAATGCTTTCGATTAGTCATACATTTTATATTACTGTTCTCTATATCATCACAAGTGCAGTATCTTTTTGTGCCGTCTGATTGAATAATTGTGCAAAATTTGCCACCAAATAAATGCATGCCCAGGCAACTAACAATAATTAAGCAATACTGTCAACTATTATTATGCCAACCAATTGTAACATTAAGCAAATTCATTAAATATATAGATTTATAGTATATATACACTGTATAAACTAGACTATCATTTTGTTTTTCTAAAAAATAGCATTTTATAGCCATTAACAAAATTTTAATTATTATAAATGAAAACATAAAATTGTTTATTTTTTTTGGTGAAAGATATGGAGAGATATGAAAACAGGTAAATGAAGACTATATAAATAATATCTAATAAAGTTATGTATAAAATAATATTCATTTGAAAACTCGTTTAAAACATGTAATAAGTGCCAACACATTCACATAAATCATTGGTTTGACTGAGGGTTTGGTTATCACAGACGACGGCAAACATAAAATTGTGGATTAAAAGTGTATGCATTTCGACCAACTCTTTAAAAACGATTCTCTTAAATAAAAAGCTATTTTATTGTAAAATTCTTGTAATCACTTTCTATAACTACTGTTGTTTCTATGTTTTTAATGATAGCATCGATTATTAATAAAAAGTAAATATATTTTTTAGATAACATAATCCAAACACTGCTGAATATCACGTATTTAAAGCTTTATTTTTATGCTCTGAAAAATGTCGCTAACTATAAGCTAACACAAGTTGTTATAACAATAACAATAATAATAATCATAATTACAATATTATAGTATAAAATGCAAGAATATATAGTATACTGTACTGTATATAATATAAATACAGAATATATAGCAATATATAGCATATATTGTATATGACTATAGAATAATTGACTGTTCCTTATGGTTGCGCTATTATATAAATATATACAGTATTTATATATTGTATATAAATTTATATAAATGCCATAATAAATGATATAATAAACTGAAAGACATATTATGATAGTTATACCTGAAAAACGGTTACGAGAGCCCATAATAGTGAATCAAAATTCTTGCGATCGCATTGTATCGTATTTTCCGGTGTTTTTCGGCAAAATTTACAGCCAAACAAATTCATACCCAGAATACTGTAATTAGAGATAATGCTATACTCACTACTCGAATACAATTATGTTTTTTTTTAGATACAAGTAGTCATATAATATTACATATAAAACAATACATAATTCATAAAACAAACAAAGTTAGACACAACAAACATAATAGACATTTTTGGATTCAATTAGAAATTGTTTAGATTATTGTATTGACAAATCATATTTAAGAGGATTTATGCTATTCTTATGATCGAATAATAGCAGAAAAAATTATGACTATAAAGACAGTTAAATATTTGATTGCTATATAATATAAGAAAAAACATTTTCAATCACTTACCTAAAGATGAATATAAAAAGTAAAAGAAGTGCAAAAAAGACGGCGACGTTGTCTATAGTTCTTAACATTATTACTAATTGTCGTCTGAGGGCTGGCATAAAGCGAACCAATTTCAAGATCCGTAATAATCTAAAACTTCTGAGCACTGATAGCCCACTGCCGTGTTCTTCAAGCAATTCCAGTAAACTATAAATAGATAAATAATGAAATATAAATAGTATTATCTGTTTAAGTATTGAAACTAATGTTACCTAAGAAGTACAATACTGCCGTCAAATACATTAAAACCCGAAGAGATATAGTTATAAAAGCCATCGGCAGACAGTTTGAGAACCATTTCAAAACCAAATATAGCTTAATATAAAATATTGTTTTATTTATTAAGAAAAAATTTATTCAATCATATATTAAATTGTTAGACATAGATATGTTAATAGAGTACATACCGGTAAATATAACATTACTTATTTCGACGGTTTGTGTGAGGCTTTCCGGTTGATTGTGATATTCAATTCCCATACAAATTGTATTGAATAGTATAGATAAAAATATAGCTCTTTTAAAGTAATTGTGATTAACTATAATCTTGAGCACCGATTGAACAGCACTCCAGAATCGGACACATCGGGATCTGTCTTTAAGTTGGCTATCATTTTGGTCATCAATGTCGTCATCCCACGAACCTTCAGATTTACTCCATTGGTTTGTATCACTTTGTGAGGTCACTGTTTCTGTAATGCTTTGAAGTTCGCCTTTTAATGTAACAAATGTTGGACTCGGAGTTGGCCTAAGAAACAGTAGAGTTGGTGCAGAACAATGACGACCAGATTTGGATGCACTCAAGTGAAAGGTCTTCAATGTCTGGTTATCACTCATTTCATTACTTTTTACACAATCAATGGTTTGAATATAGTTTTGATGAGCGAGTGAATTGTCTCTAATCTCCTCTCTATTCAAACAATACTTAATGGAAGACTTATTCAGACCTTTGTTTGTCTTGTCTTTAATGGCAGTTGAAGTGAGTTCTGCATTGACCTCATTATTCTTCGCTGGAGAATAATTGACGTCAATGTCAGATATTTCTGGACTGGCTCGGGGTGCCGGTGCCGGCAATACCGATGCTTCACTGATTACACATTTAGTTATACGAGCAGATGTGGTCTGAGGTGAATGAGAGATGAGTTTAGCACAGGTTTTATCACAACGCTTTGTTTTTGGTCCCTTCTGTGAACAGGGATCTGATTTATAATCATTTGATACATAAGTATAGTTTTTTACATATTTTCGTTTTGTCTTTTTAGACGATCTCTTGTGCAGTCGTTTAGAGCCCAATGCTATTGCATGAGAGACTTCATTCATAGGGTTAAGTGGGTTGAAGGCAGTGGACATGTCTATAGTGGACGACAACTCTTTGGTTTTCCGTCGCTGTCGATACCATCTAATTGTTGTTCTCCTCGACTTTCGCCATAAATGTGCTAAATATTTGATTAAAGCTGCATAACAATTGTTTGGCTCGGATGCACTGTAACTGGCCAGGGTGCTCTGGGAATGGCACCTATACCACAATAGATATAAGAGATAAGACATATTTCTATTATTAACTTATAGATAAATATACAATTAACGCTTTATTTATTTAAATAATAATTAATTATTGACATTATTAATATAAAACAATAGAAATATAGAAAAAGTAAATTATATAAACTCATGGTATATGACATACCTGGCCCTCTCCTGTCTCATTCTCTCCATTTCACGCTTCTTGGTCTCAGAAAATTGTGTCGCAATCACAACCAAACATAAGTTAATCATAAAGAAGGAACCGATCTATCATTTGGCAGAAGAAAAAAATATAATAAACCACACAATCATTATTGTTCACTAAATAAAGCAATTATTTTATAATTTATTTATAAACACATCACTTGGTTTGTGGCTCTTTATTTAAATTAGATTTTCTTTTAATTTAATAATGTTTGATGTAATGGGAAAATAACTAAAACATATATTTCTTATGACTTTTCTATTTATTTAGTTTAGCATAATTTGGATTAATTATAAAAAAAATCAAATCAAACTATAAAAACAAACCACAATTAGTAAGACAAAGTAGATCCAGTCCCAGAAAGAGTGGGCGTCCTGAACGTAGTACATGATGTCAGACCATCCCTCAAGACTGATAACCAGGAAGATTGTAGTCCACGCCATACCCACGTTATCAAAGGAGATGGCGTCCTGAAAGGGATTTTTATCTCCGGCCTTACATTCCGTATAGTATTGGTTCCAATTGACACAATTAGTATCATTTGGTTCATTACCACTAAATTGTTGGGCTCTATCACTGCATTTTAAATGATAATATCTCGATGGAAGCAAATCCACGCACCGATGCATACCATTGTCTTTATCAGCACTGCATATGTAATCCTTGTCCGCGTCTGGGTTTTGGTAATAGGAGGCAATTGGACTGCAAGTATGGATGCAATAAACATGTTATGTTGTGTTTTATATGTATATATAGATTATTTATGACCTAAACTATAATTTGATTAATAAATAAAAAATAGTTGACATTTAAGAATAAGAAAAGCATAAAATACTAATGCTTTGAATATCACTCCAAATACTTTTATTTTAAACGAGAAGATCATACAAAATATATAAGTAATGCATCAATAAATTATCAATTTCTACATATATGCACTCAATTCACCAAAACATATATATATTTTTGTTCAATACTAAAAAAGCAATCACTAGATTTTTCATTCATAAGCAAAATATACAATTCATTTCACATTTTTTAATATAAAAGTTCATGTATTTTCATAAATACAACTCAAAAAATATTATTTAAGAATTCATTCATTTTATAAACATTTTTTCAAAAATAAAAAAAAATAATTAATAATAAATTTTTATTATATTAACTCACGATTCAATACAAAGGTCAGACACATATACAGTATAATATACTGTAAATGATTTAGGCATAGATTCCACAAAAAGCTAACATTAGATACAGTTTAATATTTAAATCTATTAATCATTTTTAAATACATGTATTTTTTAAATACCAACAAAAGGAAAGGTTTTAATGTATTATAGAGAATCTAATGATAAAATATAGTATTAAATTAAAGCAACGACTCAATCAATTGTTAATTTATGGCAATTAATAGTCGATTACATGCTATTTCTGAAGTTTAGGAAAATTAATGCAAATCATTAGGTTTTTTATGTTATTAATGTTAATGTAAAATGCATTAAGACTATAGCTATAGCCATTGCTAATGTACATTAAGTAATAATAATAATAATAATAATAAATAGAAAATATGGACAAAATTAGGCAAATTTGTTTTTTAAACTCAGCACTTATGATATATATATATAAATTATATATATTTAATACTTGCCATATTGAAGATTATAAATAAGGTTTTACTTTAAATTATGTAAATAAATATAGCTAATTAAATAGTCAGTAATTTTTTGTTTGTTATTATTAATGCTTACATAAATATTGTTAGCATTGGAAGACTACTTAAAAAACATTTTTGCCTAATATTAGTAAACATAAACTTAAAAACTCAAAATTTACAAATTACTAATAATTTTTTCAAATTCTCAATATATATATATATTTATTAATATATACAGAATCTATCATCGGATCAATTCTTACTGTAAAACTTTGACTCTTTCAACGTATATCTGCGAGATATCGTACCTGAAAAAGCGGAAGTCATTATTTTTATAGATTTTTCATATATTATATAACCATTTTATGTTATGAATAAAAAGTAGAGTTAAATAAAAATATTATATATTATAAAAAGTTGAATTATAGTAATACAGGAAAAAATATTTCTTATGGTTTGTATGTATGTTTTTATTCATTGCTTTTATATTTTATAATTGATTTATATGATTAATGCATTTTCTATTTCTATAAATGCATTCTTATATAACATATGTATAAATATATTTTTAAATATTTTAATACTATTAAAATGCTATATATTAACTATTGAATATAGTATTGTAAAATAATTTTTTATATGTTTTACCAATTGTGTGATATTTTATTTTATTGTAAAATATATATAAAAAATAAGATTTTATAGTATTTTGAAAACACAATACTCAATGTAAGAAATAAATTGATTCAAAGTGTCATACATTTTGACAAACCTGTCAACAACAAAAATATACTGCATTTCTATGACTATCTTATAATACAATATACTCTATATGAGATGTAATGGTTAACCATTATATTATATTATATTTTGCGTTTTATGAGTTTGTCATAAAACAAATAATAGGAAATAAATAGTATAATAAATATATATTTATATATACTGTACAGTAATATATTTTATGGATAACTATACAGTAAATAGTGTTATAATTTATATTATATTGCCAATAACTTATTTAATAGTCTATCAATTAGATATAACTTTATATATTTTGTATAAAAATAATATAATAATGCATTAGAAATCAATTATAAGATAGATGTTAATGGTATGTACGGGTAAGGCATACCTCGGGAGTGAGACATTAGTGGGTAATACGAGATGACATCTCTGGCGTAATAGTCCGGCCCATAGCTGTACACCGATTATACCAAATATGAAGAACACGAAGAAACACAACATAAGCACATTTCCTAACATCTGTGCAAACGTTACAATCGATGTAATAATGATATTCACAATCATTTATAATGATTTTCATATACACACCGGCAATGTGTCCAGTAATAACATAACCAAAATCCGCATACCTATCAAAAATACAAGTGATTTTATTACCTAATATACCATCTATTATAACATTATAATATAAAAACAATATATTACTCGGAATCCTATTGATGGCACGCAATGGTCTTAAAACTCTTACGGTTCGTATCGCTGATAAATTCATGTTTCCCACGTCTAGACAGTACTCCAGTGCACTAGTTATGTAAAAATGCATTTTTTAAATAATTAATTCAATTCAATTTTATTTATTTTAAAACAATTATTATATAAATTAAGTGGACAATTTTCAAACTTTAAATTAACTCATTTTAATATACTAATACTATATACCGGTATAGTATTCTTAATACAATAAAATAAAACAAAAAAACTGTCATATAATAAAATTAAATATTATATCAAAAGATACTCAACATCATTGAAAATCATTTTTGATTTTGATTTAAATATTAATATTTATTAAACTTATGATATAAAAATATTTGTTTAAATTGTTTATATACTTATTCACGTAAAGCCTTTGTGACAATTAATTATAAAACTATATTAATATTACAATAGAAGATATCAATATATACCTAAATAATATCATTTAATATCATTTTACTAAAAATATATAATTCTAAATATGATATGAATTTTAATCGCAAGCATATGTGCTTTTCTGTACAAATTCTATATACAAGTACTGTATTAATATACTGCATATAAAGTACACATATATATAATATATATTACATTATACATTATACACATTTATTTGTGTGTATGTATGTATGTATGTATGTATGTGAATGTGTTTAATATTTTATTTAAAATCTTTGAATTTTTTAAATATTATATATTTATAAATAAATTGCATTGAAATACAAAAACATTTTTATACTTTATATTTTATAAAATGCATATGAGATTTAAAATTATCAAATCATAATATAATAATAATAATATATACTCTTTGTTGATGTTTTTGAGTAAATTTTTTTATATAAAGTTTTTTCTTTCTCCTAAGAATTTTGAATAAAATTGAATTTTTATACTTCAGAAAAATATCCAATAATTTGGATAAAATTTGTGATATAAATAAAATTGCAGTCAATTCATAAAAAGGTTACTTTTATTTGCAAAATAACAGAATTTTTTTTTTAAAACTCAATGTATATATATATATAAAACTAACAGTTTATGAATTTGAAAGTTCATAAATTCAAACTAAATTACATGCTTTGTATACTAAATAATATAATTTATAAGAAAACTTTTTTGATTTATTACACAAATTAAATATATCTTACATAATATCTATGAGATTTTTAAAATATTGAAATTGTTTTGTTTTTTGATGCATTTATTTATATGCATTAGTTGTTTATATAAACAAATATGCAATACATATCTCAATTATGATAATCACATATTCAATTATATGCTTTTTCAATCATAAGTATAATCAAATATTTTTATATGAAAATATCGTCCACTAAAATATTATGTATTAAAAACTGCAAATATATGATTATATTGAATAAATTAAATATATTTCAACACAAACAAAACTCATTGAAACTCGTGGTTTGTATCTATTCTTTATATTTAAATGCATTCAATTTGTTAAATAAAACAGAATATTAAAAAACTGTATTTATATAAAAACTTTTTCAATAAAAACTAAACTTAATTTATATTGAATATTCAAATATATATTTTTTGGTTTGTATTCTGACATTAAATACATCTTTTTCATATATTAGTCGACACGAACTATCATTTAAATTAATGAAAAATTATATAAATTAAAAAATAATAAAATTATAAACAATTATAAATACTAAATTGTAAATTGTAAATAACATACCCGGCCACCACAATAAAACAGTCGAGTCTATTCCATGTGTCCGATAGATAAGCGCCTTTAGATCCAGTGATTCCCATTGCAGTCATTTTAATGATCATTTCAATGGTAAAGAATGCAAATATGATGTCATCAAACACTTGTAATGCCTTACAGCGAGATGTCGTACAATATTCGTCATTACAGGGCTGATACATACCAAGTGTCACACAATTGAGCAAAATTGCTATCATTGAGATTCGCTCAAACCATGTGTTATACAAATTGACATTCAAAACAGTTAAGGACTATATTTTTGACACTTTTTAATTAAATTTATTTTATACTTATAAAAAACAAACAAAAACAGACATATATATAGAATTATGTTAAAGTTTTTTTAAAGAGTCATTTAAAACTGATATTAAAAGAAAAGATAAATTATGTCATATAACTAAATATTATATAAACTCTAGAATTTACTAATTATTTTTTTCCTTAAAAACTTGATTTTATAAAAATACTGTACATTAAAAATACTGCACATAAGTAGTTTGCTATACAATAATATTTTTTACACAATAACAATAATCCTATAAAAATATTTTCTTGAAATTTCTTATTTATCCAAAACAACTAATAATAATTAGTTATAAAATATTTTTATCATCAGATACTCAACACACGAATTGTAAATAATTTTCTATTGTTATTATTAGTTATTAACAGTTATACACACAACTATTATAAACCATATACAGTACAAACTAATAATTATTGAACAAACATAGGATTTGTATCATGAATTATTTAGATATTTATTTTATTTAATACATAACTTTATTTATGACCCAATTCATGAATTGAATGATTTGTCAAAAACTTTATAGTCAACAAAATAAACAAATAATTAAATAATAAAAATTCTATTCAATATCAACTCAATTTTTTATACTACATAATAAATTAGTTAATATGATGTAATATTAAATCAATTATTTAAATAAAAATATAATAAATATATCAAACTTAAAAAACGAAATTCAATAATAATATTCAAAGAAATTAAGTAAATCAATAAAAAATTAATTTTATTTTTATTCTAAAGGTATCATATAATTGTTAAATAACATTATATACTCTGTAAACATAACTCATAACATGAGTTACAAAATTGTCTAAATATTATTGTTAGCTTAAAATGATAATATTAATACTAGAATCAATAAAATATTATACGAGTTAATGATGAAGCAAATCAAAGACTACAAAATTTGCAGCAAATTTACTGAAAGTCATTACATAAGTTGTTGATATAGTTAGTACAGAATCGGAAAAACTGTTTGACTTTACAGAATAATGACTTAACCATATTATAGACAACAATGAAATACAGTATAAATAAGTGGTAATAATACAAGAATTTCACAAACAAACACAAAGTCAATGAAAAGTTAAGAAATATTACAGTAATTTAGTTGAATTGAAATCTAATATCGTGTATTATAAAACTTATTGTATATATTTCTCTCTCTCTCTCTCTCTCTCTCTCTCTCTCTTTATATATATAACTTTATATATATATATATATCTTAAATGATGAATGTTTGTGTGATTTATCCATTTCTTATGTTCCACTTTTTAAAAATTTTCTTGTGGTTTAGTCAACCCAAGCTTGCTATGATTAGCACAGGTATGTAAAGTACAGCCTAACCTGTCTAATGTGAATCCTAATAATTTTGACAATAGCCAGCTTATACAGTAGAGGGTGTAATTTATACACCGGAAGAAATAAATGTTTAATTACTTAAAAACTATTAGAAATGTTTATATTTATAATAATCTATTTATAAATTACACTTTATTGCTAATTTAATAAGTAATTTAATAATCTATTAATTTACAATATAGTTGGTCTAAAATAAGTGTATAACATCAAACTCATTCATTAAAAAAATAATTTTAAAACTTATAGTTATATTTTTGCAAATATAAACTCTTTAATTATTTAATAAAAAAGTAATAAAACAAACAATTCTTGCATTAATTTTATTAAAATAGTATGTTTTTGTACTCTTTTTTAAATAATAAATATACTAATATTACTCTTAAAATATAATTTAAATACATTAATCTTTGTATATTCAATGTATATATACTACTAGACTGTATTACCTATTAATTCAGTTAATTAAAAATTTACTAAGAAATGTATTAATTATTAACGTTTAGACTCAGTATAACCATATATTTATATAACATAATGTACAACATAGTCATATACCATGTAATTAAAGTTTATTTAGTAAATTAAGTTTTTTTGTCAATAAAAGTAAAGTATTTAGAGTTCATTGAAGAATATGTGATGAGAAATGCATAAAATGCAAAAATCTTATAAACTAAAGTCAAAACATTGAGTTATTTAGTATATAATGACTAAAATATACTGTATATACAATATATTGACAAAATTTGAAATCGATTTCAAACATTTTTCTCAATACAAATCAGTGTTAAATAACTACTAAAACCAAATTGTAATACCAGTGCAACATAAGGGCACCAAAAACTACTGGCGTTAGTGTAAAAAACCTGACGATATTTGTCGTCAAACATAACCTGCGGTTCTTTTCCTGAGTTAACACATTCACTGAATCTAACAATTTGTCAAAAAATTGTTAGATTTTTTTGCTTTTGATTCACTCTTACATTTGTTTTGACAACACTTAGTTGTATTGGCTTAACATCTGGTTGTGACTGAACTTTACTCTCTAACTCTAAACCATTGCAATCATAGATATCTCTAAAAAATCTATAAGAAATCTTAATTGTTATTATTGACAATCATTTTAAAATTCAATCAATAAAATAGTTTTTTTCTTTGCTTTAAGTAATCAAATATATAATAGAATTGTAATCAAAATCTATGCCATTTGTTTTCAATTGACTAAATAAATAAAATTATAGGAAATCGATATTAGATTAAAGTACATAAAGAAAAAGTCATTACTATATTCTTATAAATTAAGCTAACATTAGTGTATAATAAATGTTTCTTTTTGTTGTTGATAATTGTTATAAAATTTACATTAAGACAAATGTACTGCAAATTATTGTTATGTGTTAATTATATTGATTCAAAAGTTTTCAAACAATTTTTTAAAGCAATAAAACATTTATTTAAAACTTTAATTATTAGTTGGTGTATTGCTGTATATACAGTGTTTGTAGGCTTTATAAAAAAATGAAAAAAATAACAACTAGTGGTTAACATATTTGTTGTTAACTTTCAATACAATAAAAACATTTTTTTGCCTCAAAACCAAAATCGTTATTATTTTCATTTATTAGTTAACTTAAGGTTTTGGCAAAACAACAATGTATTGCATCCAATGTCTGCCTTAAAGACATATTAGTTATAAAACTTAATTTATTTTGTTTTTATATTTAATATTATATTGACAGCAAAACATATGGTGAAAGCTTGAACTATAAATATTTATTATAATAAAATAAAAATAATTGTTGGCTATTATTACAGTAATAATAGTGATCACAATAATAATGATTTATTATTTTTATTTACATAGTTGTTTATGTTGATTATTAAATATCAAATTATTAAATATTATTAAATACTAATAAAGTCAAGTAGTATATATATATACATACATATATATATTTATATTTATTTGAGCAACCGATATAAATTGAAAAATTGATATTAACTGTAGAGAATCACTAAAGTTATTAGATTTCATAAAATTAGCATAAAAAATATCGTAGAAATATTTAAATGAAAACAGTAAACATATAAACAAATAAATAAAAGATAAAATATCATAAAATACTGCTACAAATTGATGGAAATTGAAAAAAGTAAAATTTGTAAAGAATTATTATTTGAATAAATATAAAAACATCAGAAAAACAATTTACCAAATATTACAATACTTACATTATTTATACTACAATACTGTATATGTAAAAATATACACAACTACAGTATATTGTATGTATTATATAGTATTTGTTGAAAAATACCAATATTTATATAAATAGTAAACTAATAAATGTTTGAGAACTTCTATTGTTATAATAATAATAATAATAATTGTATTATAAGTTTGCTTACAATACACTAAATAAGGAAAAGCATTATTATTAGGAATCACAGAATGATTCACTTATTCTTAATTTTTATTCAAAACATAACATTTATATAAAGCATTTGTAAATATAGTAATTTCATTATACAAACACTTACTAAACATTTAAAACGCCAGAAAAAATGTTTTGTTTTAATATTAAATATTTTATTATAATAAAGTCCATAAAATCCAAATTTAATTTATGTTGACTTTGAATAACTGTGTTTTACATGTGAGGGACATAAAGTTGGAGCTGAAGAATAATGGGCAACACCTCCGGGGAATCCATTTGTTTGTGAATTTTGCCTTTTTCTTAGTCGACATGAATTTGTCTCTGTTTTATGTTATGTCAAATACAATAAATGTTTAAACAAATATTTTACTATATTTGTATGTTATATATAACTGTTATAATATCAGGTATAATATATAATCTAAAGCGCATACTGTATATGTCACACATATTTTTAGATGTCTAACAGTTTTCCGTAAATTTGGAGTCAATTTTATCGCATTTTATCGTTTTTTACTCTCATTTTAAATCCAAACTATTATTTTTGATTGTCACTGACAAAGTCATAGCTTATACTGATATCATTGATAACTGATAGTAATCATCAAAATGTGAACTTCACTTACAAATTACAGTTATCTCTACTCTATCTAATATATATATATAATATAATCTAACGGTTCTCTATTGGCTCTCTTCCCAATAAAAATCCATTTTCTTCAGCAAATAATTCTTAATAAGAGAGTGACAGAGATTTTGACAAAATGTAAGACAATATTTCAATGAACTCATAATACGTTTGAAAGTTATGACAAAAACAATTCAACACACAATCCAATAATATTGATAATAACATCATTTTCATACACAGTTTATTTTATGTATACTATATATATATATATATATATATATATATAATTGCACAATATATAAATTTATGTTAATATTGAAAGATTTAGTTTAAAGCTATTACTTTAAACAGCATTTAAGTCGGTATACAAAAGCAGATGTTATGTAATGAATGAACACAAACGAGATATTCATTTATTTATAGTCACATAAGTGTTGATGAATTGCATACATTTGGACTCCAGTCTACTCTATCCATA